TATAGTTTTATTTGCTGTTTTATTTACTGTTATATTGTTTTATATTTCCATTTCCTGTGTTCTAAAGCACTTTGTGATTTTTTTTTTTCTTTTTAAATCTGTGAAAAGCGCTATATAAATAAATTTTACTTACTTACTTACCTTTCTTGTAACAAGCGGTTATTTGATTTACTCTCAATACTTGATCAGCTCAGTTTGGTCATCCTGCTGGCCTCTGGCATCAACAAGGAATTTTCAGAAAAGTTGCACTTGTTTTTGTGCGTTGAGTTGCTGCCATGTGATTGGCTGATCAGATATTTCTGTATATGTCTGTATGACTGAAACTGTAATCAGCATCAGCTGGTGCAGTATCTGGTTGCAATTAAATAAGATTTTCTAGATGATGCTATTTAGAAAAAAAAAACTTATTATAAGCAGTCTCTCCATAACATTGACTGATGTTCTGAACAACATAGTATGGGTGGTGACTTGTATTGTCGTGTTTGCTTGTTTGTTATAAGCAGATATTCAAGTTTTCCCATAATGTGGTCATCACTTTCCAGTCTAGTAGCATGTCTTTGTGTACTGGTTGAGAGTAACCCCAATATCCTGAACCAGTGTAGTAAGATTTGTCACATACTACTTGTACTGTAGTTTACATTTGTAGTTTACTCAAGTTCAGTCAGTTTTGCTTTGTCAGATGTCATTTAAGTTGCGTCAAACATTGGTTGCTAATCATCCCAGAGGCAAGTCGACACGTCGAGTCGAGTTTGATTGTGTGTGTTCGTATACGCGCTGTGAGCAGATGTCATTGTTGCCTTGGGCAGCAGAACGGGTAGAGGCTTGGTTAAAGCGTTTTATGGGTAATCTGTGAAGGTAAGTCATGAAGACGAGTCATCAAGCTGTGAAATAAACACTGGAGGTTGCTCAGGAACCCAGTTTTAGTCATACAGTCTGACCTGTTGTACAGTGGAATATTTTGCGTTCTTTACAGGACTCTTACTACTGAGCTTCAGTACCCACAGTGCTGGTTCATGCTCGTCTGCTTTATTTACGCTGAATTTGAAAGAGTAATGAGAGTGACAACCCCAGTGCAGTCCTCAGGGTGGCAGTAAAGTGCATAGCTCTACCAGAAGACACAGTAGTTTATCTCAAAATGTTAAGACACTCCTCTTGAGTAGTGGAAAAAGTGTTTAGAAACTTTAGAAAAAGTTTGTTTTTTTTTAATCGGCATGACTATATGGGAATTTCTTTATTTATATTTTATAATAGGTACCAAAAGGAAAACCTTTCACATGAGGGACAAAAATGAAAACTGACCCTGAATGAGACTGACCTTCAGCCCCTTGGGCAGAACTTTCAAATTAAAAACAGACCTGAGTCTGTAATGGAAATCCCTGAATGGCGTCAGAAGCACATCTGAAAAGCATTGTCAGTGAACACAAATTCTTGGTGTACCTAGAGTTCACAGTTCAGGCTTCACTATGCAGAGAAAAAAAGTGTATAAACAAGATCATCTTATCTGGGTCCAAGCTGGTGTAAAATAGACCGAGGTTTTTAGAAATCACGGGCGCCACGACCTGTGGGCTAAAGAGCAAAGGTGGTGAAGGTGGATGGCCATCTAGTTGTGTTGATATGGGGGTTTATCACTGTATCACCTGCACACGTGTAACGGTAACACTGATGCTGAAAATTTTAATATATACAGTTCTGAGAAAAATGTATTACCTGCTGTTGTTCAGACGTTTTTAGACCTGGCAAAACCACAATGATGCCATTCGATGCATTATCAAAGGAACAATATGGCGAAGCTGACGCCAGCCTGCTGAGAAACTGAAATCTTATATTTAGCAGGAATGCTGAGAAATCAGCTTCAGATTTGCATGAACTGGTTTCCTCATTTCCCAAATGCTAAAACACAATGATGCAACAGAGTGGTCAGCATTTCCTCATCTTTCCTAACAGTTCTGACACGGCATCACGGGTTCTATTTTCTGGAAATGGGAAGCCAGTTTAATGATTTAGAAGAAAGGGAAGAAACCCTGTCATTCACTTTGGTTAGTGGCCCGTATTTTATGTCAGCTGTAGCTTGGAACTTTGTTTGAGCACTGAGGAGCCTCTTTGTGTCTCTGTGATAGCAGTTTTGGCGCTAACTGTTCAACGCACGCATATCTGAGTGTGGAACGGCATCAGCTTGTGGCCAAACCCTGTCCCTTCTCGACAGAATTAACCCTTTTGTCTAAATGAGGCGTTTCATGTTTATTATCACATGGTTCCTATATTATGGTTCCT